TGTTTGATCTTGAAATTTGATCTTAAAAATCATCATGTTACTGAAAGTTTTATCCAAGGTTAGGAGGAAAACAAAATCCAAATCAACCGTGCCAATCCTATAGCATAAAAGCACTTGAATAGACCTGAAATGCTGAAGTGCTCAAGAAGTGTTAGTGCAATAAAACCTGTAGTAGTGATTTGGGGTTTGGAACATCCAAACTGGAGAAAAGAATTGTATTTGCACTGTAAACTATTCCCTGTAGCACCAGAACGGCCAAATATTTGCTTAGGCTTTAATTTGTCTTCACAAAAGCATTTAAGCAGATACTTGAATAAATAGAGTTGTTCATGCTTGCAGCTGAATTAGAGCCACAAGTAGCTCACATGGCTTGACCTGAGGTGAAGTCTTGCTTTTACTGGCTTGTCTCAGGATTTGGAAGTAGGTGCTATGAGATGGGCTCAGGGATTGGGCATGGCAGGGAGTGTTTGGTCTGACGTGACAATCAGAGAACCATCCAAGGTTGGAGGAGACCTCTAAGATCATCAAGTCCAACCATTAACCTGTCACTGCTGGAACCCCTAAACCACATCCTCCACCAGATTCACTCTTAAACATCTCCAGGGATGGTGACTCCACCACCTCCCTGGGCAATATTCTAGTGCCTGAACACCCTAACAGGGAAAATAAAATCCTAACATCTATTCTGATTAGGATGCCCTGAACATACTAGGATGTTCCCTGAGCTCTTGGGCTGGAGTTTAGGGGGTTTTCTTCTGGTTAAACCCAAAGTGTTTTCCAGCAGATGGTTTCCAGATGTGCTCCCTGTGGCTCAGAACCTCACTCCTCAGAAGTAAACTCCCCTAAGATATACTTCATGTGGATGTGAGTGTTCATGTGGATTCATATGATAGCAGGTGAAATGGCTCTAGGGTTGAATGGCATTGAGCAAAGCAGAGTTTGGAGGGGTTTGTGTGTGTTTGTTCTTGTGTTTAAATAATATTTAGAAGTCTTTTTTTTTTCTTGTGTTGGCAGTTGAACATAATTATTTTGGCAACAGAAAGAAAACATTTGGGACATCCAGTTTAATGAACTAGAGCTTTAACCAAGCCAGGAATGCTGTCAGACTGTAAAGCAAATTCATCTCCTTTTTGGCTTCTGTAAGAGACCTTTTTTCCCCTGTTTCTACTGACATTTCTGATTTATTGAGGTACCAGTTCTCTAGAAGAAGCATTTGCACTTCAGAAAATCCCTATTTTGTGTCCACAGTCTTTAAAAGAGTTCATTAGATCAGTAATAATGTAGCTGAGCCTCAGAATAAAACTGCCCACTATAATTTTTCCTGTGCTTAAGCAATTCAGCTACATAAATGTTTGAAGATACATACTTGGGATATTACAATTATGATAAATCTTTAAAGGAGCATCACCACTAAGTGACTGGTGATGCTTGAAAGAGTTCTGGCTGGTTGTGTGAATTAATAGTGTACATATAAATGGGTATTTAATCACTTTTTAAATGCTGTGTTACTCATCCAATCACAGCACTTGCTCAGGAGCTATTTTTTGTGACATTTATGTTAAATGGCAAATATTTGTTTACATGTGTAGTGAATTAATGTGTACTTAATGAGTTCTGGTTAGGTTTGCACTAGTTGCTTTTGCAGTGGGTTCAAACCCCTGACAGTGTGTTTGCCTCAAAGTTGTTTGCAGGTGAGGAGAGAACAATTGGAGGAGTTGCTGTATGGCTCTTTCTGTGGTGTGACACTGCAGTTCCATGTTTCAGATGAAATCAGGTGTGGATAGATCAGTTCTGTTGGGAGGAAGCCAACGGGCTTTGCCTGGCTGCAAACCTGGTCAGAAATTGAGATTTGCTTTGTTTTTTTTTATTGAAATTGAACTCTTTCAAGTATTCAGGAAAGATGTTGACCTGTTAGAGCAAGTCAGAGGATGCCACTAAGTTGATCACAGGGCAGGAGAACCTCTGGTCTGGAACCAGTCTGGGAGAGCTGAGGGTGTTCATCCTGTGTGAGAAAAGGCTCTAGGGACACCTTAGAGCCCCTTCTAGTGCCTAAATGGACTCCAAGAGAGCTGGAAAGGGACTTTGGACAAGGGCATGGAGTGACAGGACAAGGGGAAATTGGCCTTAAGCTCAAGGATGGTAGGTTTACATTAGATATTAGGAAGAAACTCATGGCTGTGAGGCTGCTAAGGCACTGGCACAGATTGCCCAGAGAAGCTGTGGCTGCGCTGAGGGTGTTCATCCTGTGTGAGAAAAGGCTCTAGGGACACCTTAGAGCCCCTTCTAGTGCCTAAATGGACTCCAAGAGAGCTGGAAAGGGACTTTGGACAAGGGCATGGAGTGACAGGACAAGGGGAAATTGGCCTTAAGCTCAAGGAAAGGATGGTAACATTAGATATTAGGAAGAAACTCATGGCTGTGAGGCTGCTAAGGCACTGGCACAGATTGCCCAGAGAAGCTGTGGCTGCTCCATCCCTGGGAGTGTTCCAGGCCAGGTTGGATGGGGCTTGGAGCAACCTGGGCTAGTGGAAGGTGTCCCTGCCCGTGGCAGGGGTGGAACTAGATGATCTTTAAGGTCCCTTTCAACCCAGCCCATTCTATGAATGTCCCTCATGGCTGTGAGGCTGCTAAGGCACTGGCACAGATTGCCCAGAGAAGCTGTGGCTGCTCCATCCCTGGGAGTGTTCCAGGCCAGGTTGGATGGGGCTTGGAGCAACCTGGGCTAGTGGAAGGTGTCCCTGCCCGTGGCAGGGGTGGAACTAGATGATCTTTAAGGTCCCTTTCAACCCAGCCCATTCTATGAATGTCCCTTTCAATGTTTTACTGAAACACAGTGTTGTGCTGCAATTTCAGCTGTAGTTTTGGGTTAGGAGTTTATCTGAGACAAATGTGGGTATGGATCTGGTACTTATATTCTAGTTCTTCATTCTCTCTTATCTTCTAACCGTGTCAGTGACTGGGGTTTTTTTTCCTTCCCTGGTCTGTCTTTCTCTGACAGGTTAACTTTGATAAAGAATCAGTTCCACTCAAGACTTCTGAAAGATGTAAATCTTATTTCCACCCTAAGAAGAATTTTATATAAATATTTAAAGGTAGTGTTTCACCCTAGCCACATATGGTTACTTATTTGGACCAAATCTGTTTTTCCCCCCTTCACCTTCACTGTTTTAAGTACTGTAAGAACCATCTAATTTAAAATTCAATAATGATTTGAGGTTACTGTAATATCATTTAACCTTAAATTTATTCAAGATGCTTGGATGTCATTAACTCGTAGTTTTTAGGTACTGAGGGGTTTAATTTACATTTATCCCTTCTTATTAGAATATTTTCCAGGAAAATACTGAGTTTGATAACATTGGATGTCTTTACAGATCATCCTTCTATCATCTATTCCTAATTGTCTTTGCCTTGTCAGACTGTACATCTAGAGTTCAACTTGATTTCTAAGATTATCAACCTTTGGGGACTTTGTAGGAACTTGTGGCTTGTTGTGAGCCATTTTAAAGTCAGCAGAATCATTTGAACTTCATATTCTTGTTTGTTTGTATTGGGGTTTTTTTGTGGTACAACTAGAAGGAAAAACAGAGGCCAATTTTTATTCTACTGCATTCCAGTTGCATATAGGGCTGCTTATTCTGGGAGCAGCAGTGTTGCTTGTCCTCATGGTTAACTTGACATTTCATCAACATCAAAAATAAATCCATCGAGATTCTGTCCTAACAATCTCTCAGGAGCAGATTCAACTCAAGGGTGTCAGCTGAGCTCTGAATAACTTTCTAAAATAGGACTGGAGAGCTGCATTTCTCTTCAAGGTTGTGAAATAAAGTATCAGAGGCCTCTGAAGTGGGTACATGCACTTGCTTTTAGGTGTTGGAATACGTATAAACTACATACGGATGGGATTTGTCTTAGGGTGTCCTGAAGAAACCAAGACAGTCTCCTGATCCTCTGGTTTCTGGCAGTTGTGGTGTAAAAGGTTGGAAGCTCTTGACAGCAAATGCCACCTAATGGAATAATCACAAAATGTTAAGGGAATGGAATGGAGCTTAGAGATCATCTAGTCCCAACCTCCTGCCCTGGGCAGCAGGGACACCTCCCACCAGAACAGGTTGCTCAAGGCTTTAGCCAACCTGGCTTTGAACACTGCCAGGGTTGGGGCAGCCACAGCCTCCCTGGGCAACCTGTGCCAGTGTCTCACCACTCTCACAGGGAAAAACCTCTTCCTAATATCTAACCTAAATTTTCACATTATCCCTTGTCCAGTCACTGCAGTTCCTAACAAGGTGCTTTGTATTTCTCCCCATGTTTTAACATATGAAGGAATATATTTAAATAATTCAGTTCTGGGCTAGAGGACTATTGTAGTGCTTTTTATTTGAGCCATAAGTGAGAGCTTTAGATAACTTTAATGTTACTCTATATATGCTGTGGAGTTCAACCAGACCTGTCTTGGCCAGTTTATTCTCCTGGTTTGGGGTTTTTCTGGTTTTTTCCTGTTTTCCTGGGCACATCCCAGCAGTCTGTCTCATTAAAGAAGTTCTCATCAGGGATCACTCATCTTTCCTGGGCAATGCCTTTGAATCCTGAGTCCTCTGGGTTCTAGCAGTGGAACACTAGTTTTAATCAGTGGCATTTCTCTGCTCCAGTCCCTTCTCCAAAGTGCTTTAAAGGATAATGCTAAAGCACGAAGGAGAGCATAAATACTTTATTGCATGGAAATTATGGAAAGTAGACCTGATTTAAACAAGTAAGTTGCATTTTCTTTACTTGGAGGCCTGTGTGTGCTAATTATGGAGTTAATGAGTACATATGTATGAATTGATGCTAATGGGGTTAACGTTGCTCACGTTACTGACATTTATTGCAGAAGCAACACTGTACTCTATAGATACCCCATGGGAAAGTGTTTGTGCTCTCACCTCTGTTTGGGTTTGCTGACTAACACCTGTATCAAATCTTTCTGTTACAGGTCTGCCTTGAGTGAAGCTTGACAAAAAATGGTCCAGCAGTTTTGTCTCTGGAAATGGTTAGCTGCAGGGATTGCACTCACTACTGTCTTGGCAGGTTGTTTGGCCCAGAATGATGACGGTAAGGTTTTTGGCTGAGTGGGTGTAGCTGTGGGGAGGAGTGGGATGATTCTGTGACATCATTTTAGTGCCTTTTTCCCCCCCAGAACTGTTACTTGAAAGAGTAGTTTGATGGGGGGAAAAGTACTTTGGTAGGAAAAAGAGGTTACAATAGAGAATTATCTCTGTATGTTCATGGTTTCAATATCTACTGATTATTATATTTTACAAAGCTGTTGATTTACCAGGCAAGATGTAAATCTTAATTCTGATAATTCAGTGTTGGACTCTAACATTTAACCAACGTTATTGCTTTGTTTGTAAATCACCAGTTGTGACTGGAGCAGGACTGTCAGTGTGAATTGTTAATGGACTGAATAAAGGTCTGACCAAAAACTTGGGATAAGATCCCCAGTGAGGGTTTTCTAGAGAAATGAGATGTGAGGAACCCTGAAATGTGGCACCAGGAGCTCACATTCCACTAACAGTGTCTTTGTTGAATTCAATTCAAAGATACCAGAAATGTGTTCTGCCAGTTATCTATAGTCATAAAAAATTACAAGTCTAAATGACTGATTAGGATTTATTCTTTTGAATAGTTTGAAGTTGAAGAGCAAAGTTTGTCGGACTTGTTCTTAAATACTCTCAGAGTAATGAGTGGGATAAGTAAGAACTGAGTATGTAATGAAGTAGCTCATTATGTGAGGCCTCCATGTAGGTAAGCTGTAATTATGCATATTTATGACTTTTGCAGCTGGATTTTCTTGTGGAAACCTCTTGTTTGGCAGTTATGAAGTACAGTAGTTTTGCTTTTATGTGAAGTCTTCAATCTTTTGCTTTGCTTTTTGGCATTGAGTCAAAAGTATCTTTTTCTTGCTCTATTAATTACTCTCCAAATATCCTTTTATTCCCTTCCATCCCCCAGCCCAACCCTACATTATATTTGATGTCCGTAGTGTACAAGACAGCTAACTTAATTATATTTTTACTCTGTCATTATTGATGTCACTCTTGATGCTGAAGTGAAGTGTCTGAGCTGCTCATGTTTTGGATATTTGATGCATGCTTGGGTACAATTAGCTTTTTAATTATTCATTAGGGGGTTGGGGCCATTAGACTTTGCAATGTTGCCCTTGGTGAGGGTTGGGTGAGAAGGAAAATGCTAGATTTAAGAGAGGAGAAGCTGCCTGGCAGTGAGATGACCTCTGGCATGTTCAGCAGCATGTGAAAGCAATGGGAATGGGCTGAGGGGAGGGAAACAGGAGGATGGGACTGTGGGGGATTCTGTTCTCTTATGGTAGGCTGAATATAGAAAGCAATGCCTTTTACTGTGATCTTATTTGTGCTCATACTGGCAACATAACAGTCATCCAAAAAGGCCTCTGGAGGAGACTGAGGGGAAATGTTATTGCTGGATACAACTTCTTCATGGAAGGAAGTGAAGGGGCAGCACTGACCTCTTCTCTCTGGCAGCCAGTGACACGACCCAGGGAATGGCCTGAAGTTGCCAGGGAAGGGTTAGGCTGGAGATTAGGCAAAGGGGATTTGGGCACTGGCACAGCTCCCCAGGGCAGTGGTCACAGCCCCAAGCCTGACAGAGCTCAAGGAGTGTTTGGACAATGCTCTCAGGCACAGGGTGTGATTCTCAGGGATGTCCTGTGCAGGGCCTGGGGTTGGAGTGGATGATCCTTGTGGAGCCCTTCCAACTCTTATTATTTTATGATGTTGTCATTTTTTATGAAAATAAAATAAAATGGTGATTTTTAGTTGAATCCCCATTTCTAGTGCCACTTTGGCCATGCTCAAGTGTGTAAAAGACATGTGAACCGGACAGGATAGTAATACACAGTTGGATCTTCAAAATGGGAAGACAGATTCCTCATGTTTCAGTTTTTGTTCCTTTCTACTTCTGTGACAGACTTAGATATTCTTGCCCTTATCCCAAGGGTATTCAGATCATATCCTCTTTGTTACAGGTGATTTAGAGGAAGGGAAAGATACTTGGCCACAGCTATCACTCAGTAATGATAGTGTCATGTGGCTGAAAACATAGAGGAACTTCCTTTCTTAAAAGGACTGTAAACATGGAGTTACTTACTTTCTTTTTTTACCCGGCTCATGCCATTTTGTTTATCACCCAAACCTGGTTTTATCTTTGATAATGTCCTCTTATATAGTCTGAACAGAGGAGATTTGCTTTTCAATGAATATCAGTTTGATGGATGTAGCTAAGAGTATTGTTCCTTCTTTGGGGTCTTGAGGAACGGATCTTCTTCCCCCACACTGTGTTCAGGAAAGGGGAAATTTAGCTCAAAGTACTTTGGATAAATTCTGCAATGATATAATAGCAAAAAAACTGATCTGGAAATGGATTTAAGCCAAGGTTGGGGTATTGGTGACTCAGTAAATGGCACCCAGCTAATGAGGCAGTGCTTATAGGAATAATTACTTTGAAATATGTTTCTTGCAGCTAAATAGAAAACTCTGTTTAGTGCAGGGACTCAGAGTTCTAATGTGCAGCAACCAAATCTGTAACCTAATGCATAACACAAAAAATTCACGTTCTCTTAGCAATTGCCATTTTAACCCAGTGTAGTTATTTTAACAGCAGAACAATCATGAACACAAACAGGAAAAAAATCAATTATGGCACAAATTATGAACTATTTCTGTGTCCAGCGTGCAAATGCTCTATTTTCCTGGTGGTGTGTGCATGTTGACTTAGCTGTTGCCTCACTTACTGCAGTTTGCTCCATTACCTCATAATTTCTCTTATTTCTTGTGTTTTTACTTGACCTCCTGAGTCATAAAATCTTCCCCAGCCGCAGCAGTTAATGATGTTCTTAAGTAGCCTTAAAACTTCATCAAGGACTGCCTTGGCAATGGCTAGGCTGCTGTTTTCCTATGTTTAGCAGGAAGCTTCCCCAGAATTCCATCTGTTCATGAGGAAATGCAAATCCTTTCCATCTACTGTAGCATTAAAACCCCACCAAATTATTAAAACTAGCTCTTGTGTTCCAGAGTCTTCACATTAGTCTCAGTGTGCTGTTGATTAACCCATTCATTGTTTGATTCCAGTTATTTCATGGTGCTATTCTTCTGCTCAGCCCTGTGATGTGCCAGAATAAACATTAGGCTTGTGGGCAGTGGGGAATACGTGGGGATTTGTTGTTTGGTTTTCCTGAGAGAGAGATGTGGTTTTACACTTTGTGTTGTTCCTAGCTGTCGTGCCTTCCAAGCAGAAGAAATGTTGCAAAGCTTTAGGGTTTTTTTGGGTTTTTTAATAATATTTAAGCTTAAGTAAAAGTAGAAATGTCAGTTGTAGCCTTCTAATATATGAAATTAGGTCAGCTAAAATCCCTTTTATTTTTACAGTGCTGCTCTATTGAATTCAGAGGCAAACTCTGAGGCTAAAAGAATCAGTGAGGAGGAAGGTGGAAACACAGGATCAAATTTACCTCCTTTCTTTGTTCCCACCTAATCTAATGTATATGACTCAAAGAAACACTTTGCAGAATCTTATGGTCAGGAGAGAAAGCTGCTGAATTGACAAGCTGTTTGCACATCGATGCCACACCAAACTCACCCAGCAACAATTACTTGGGCGTTAACAGATTTAATTGCCTTTAGCATTTAGACTTAGTTCATGCCTTCCTTGAAGCTTAGAGGTGTGAGCTTGAGGTGGTACCAGTATTCTATTCTTTACTTTTCAAAGGTGAAAAAAAAATCCAACTTGGCTTTGAGCACTGCCAGGGCTGAGGCCTCTACTACCTCCCTTAGCAGCCTGTGCCAGTGTCTCACTTTCTCCTTGACTAGCTTGTGGAACAAGAGCTGAGCCATTGCCATCTGCCCTGTGGAATTTGTATCTGTCACTGATGGCTCAATGGGTTTGTTTCATTCTGACCTCCTAGTTGGATCTTTTCTCTGACTATAGGACTAGCAGGCAGGAGTGGCTCTGCAGAACAAGGATTTTATGCTTGGAAAGCTTGAAGGAATATGCGTCAGCGTTTTATTGCAGTCTAACTTACAATGGCGATGGAGAGAAAAAACTCAACACGATCTCATTGTGGGTGAAATATAACAGATACTGCTGTTTGTCCTGAAGGCAGTGAAGGCCCTTGAAGGGCTGAATCAGCATGGCTTGGATTTGGGAGAGGGAGAAATCAAGCAAAGAACTGACTTTGGTGGGAATTGGTGGAAAACTGATTGCCAGGTGTGGAAGCATCTCCCACCATGGAGTATGCACTCGGGTTGTGCATACTAGGTTCACCTACTTTATCCTACTACTAATCTAATGTTTATCTTATTGCCTCTGAGAGAAGGGGCTATGGGGGTGGCTGAAGAGTACACTAAAGGCAAACCCTGTTTGATAGCAACATCAAGGGGTTTGGCCTTTGTTATTGAAAGAGGAGAAACTCTTACTCTCAGGTTCTATTGCACATGGAAAAAAAAACTTCAAACCTAACAACTAGATGAGCAAGAGGTCACTGGGTTTGTTTTCCAGGTTATTCTGTATCCTCACTGAATTCTTAAGCTGGACCTAAGGCTCTGCAAGGTGTGTGGGCCTGGCAGGAAGACACACATCTCTTGCCAGCCTCAGTGTTTGGAAGATGTTGAGCTAATTGAGATTAGGTCCATCTGTAGTTAGTGGTGGCATCTGAAATGAAATTAAATTGAGGCTAATCAGAAGATTTGCTCATCCAAATATGTACTTCATTTCAAAAGCATTAAGCAGATATGTATTTTTTAATCAGGATGTAAGGAATAGCCATTTAAATTGTTCCCTGTGAGGATGGTGAGGCACTGGCACAGATTGCCCAGAGAACTTGTGGCTGCTCCATCCCTGGAAGTGTTCCAGCCCAGGTTAGATGAGGCTTGAAGCAACCTGTTTGAGTAGAAGGTGTCCCTGGCCATGGCAGGGGTGGAACAAGATGAGCTCTAAGGTTCCTTCAAACCCAAACCATTCTGGCAGAACCACAAGTGAGCAATTCCCTTTTGCTACCAGTATCATTCAGGCATATG